GCGTACGGGGGGGGGTTGTCCATGGCGTTGCCATGTGTTGCCCGACAAGGAATTGATGGCATGCGGACATGGTCATGTCGGGCGAAGCGTGGACGTGACCAAAAAGGTCGTAGTTTTGGCGAGGCGTAACCGTTGTGATGGTCGTCAGGCGGTGGGTGTGGAGGAGCACGTGTCTGCAGCATGGCGAGATCGGGTGTGGAGCATGGGGCAGAGAGACTTGCGGTGGAGGAGCTTGCGGTGGGTGAGCCATTTACGGTGGCGACGCTTGCGACTGGCGCCGGGTGCTCCGAGGAGGATGCGGCTGCTGCGGCGGCGGCATGGCTCGCGGCCGGGACGGTGCGCAAGGCGGTGTGGCCGACAGAGGGCGACAGAGGTGAGACGGGCACGATCGAGGTGTGGTGGCGGACGGCAGAGGCGACAGGGCCTGTGCTGGGCGGCGGACTTGCCTCGCCCGCAAGGAGCGGGGGCGGCGGCCAGGGCGGCAGAGTCGGCAAAGCCAAGTCGCCGTCGTCGCCGCAGAGCGCGACGACGACGCTTCGGCGGCGGCGGATGAGGCTGCTGCGGCCGGGCGGGGCTGGGCGCGGGCGTGGACGGCGACAGGCGACCAAGCGCGGCAAGGGCTTGAACGGAAAGCGGATTGGGCGTGGGAGCGGTGGCCCGCGGCCGATGTCAGACGTAATGCTGGTGCGCGAGGCGCGGAAAAAGGTGCAAGCAGCGAGTAAGGCGCTGTCGCGGGTCAGGGTCCTCGGCTCGATTCAGGACTCTGGCGAGATCGAGCGGCTGGAGGCGCTCTTCATGAAGTGGAAGGAGGTGGCGGTCGAGGCGCTGGAGTCGCTTGTGTCGCGGTCGCGCGCAGCCGGCGACGCCACCTCCAAGCTCAGCATGGAGCAGGTGCTCGCTGGGCTCGGCATTCCGGCATCGCTCATTGCGTGGGATGCCGACGCCGAGGAGTTTGTGTGAGTGAGGCTCGCGTACACTCTGCAAGGCCATCAGAACATGAGAGCCGACGAGTACCAGGTAAAGTCCGAGTCGTCGAGGCCGATGGAGAGGCCGATGGCGAGCGAGACCGTAGTGCGGGCTTGTGGAAAGTCGTCGAGGAGCTGTGTCTCTAGCGAATCGCCGGCCGGCAGTGCCAACAGGTGAATGGCGTCGTCGACGGGCTCGGCGACAGCGGAGCCGTCGGCGGGGACGTGCGACGCATGCCACGCGAGGTGGACAACCTCGACTGGGGCGTCGGTGGCGTCGCGAAGGATCTCGGTCCGCGGCGGCGGAAAGACGGCAAGGAGCTGGGAGTCGAGCGGCTCGGCGCGGTGCGAGGCGATGAGTTGCCAGGCAGCGGCGGCAAGGTCGTGCGGGAGCGCGTACACATGGATCTTGGTCTGCCGGACCGAGACCTGGCGGAGGAGCGGGATGCGAGAGGCGAGGCGGGCAATGCGCGAGGCGCGCTGGCCCGCAACGTCGGGCACAACGGCGACCGCGGCAGGCAGAAGGCCCGCAGGTGCGGCTTCGGCATTGCCGCTGGCCGCCTGCGCCGCATACGCGTCGATCGCAGCAGCGACTAGACTTGCCGGCACTGCATGGTTGGTGTAGCTCGGCAGGACAAAGAGGTTGCGGAGGACAAGGACGTCATACGACTCGGTAGCGCATGAGTTTGCGGCCTCGGCAGCAAGCCACTCGATGACGCCGACAGGCGTGGAGCTGGGCAGGCTGGCGACGACGAGGCCGCCACTGCCTCCGGCATCGGCGGGAGGATCACGCTCTTCCAGGGCAGGATAGACCGAGCAGAGGCCGACGTCACCTAGGAGCAGGCCAACGCCGTCTTCGCCAAGGACGGCGGCGCCAGCATCCGAGTCGTCCGACTGAGCAAGGAGCGAGGGCGAGAGCAGCGGAGCGACGACCAGGCCGTCGAGCGGGACGGGAGGCGGGCCAAGTTGAAGAAGATGTACATCGAGCAGCAGAAAGTGAGGAGCAGAGTGATGATAATGGAGGGAACCATGATGGCCGAGAGGACCACAAGTTGGAGCCATGGCGATGAGCCCGGGGCGAACCAGCCGCCGAGGTTGTAGACAGTGGTGGTGAAGAGGAGCCAATCTGCGAGGTCGTTGGCATAGACCAAGAGGGTAGTGACAGCAGCGAGTGGTGGAGCGAGGGTCAGGCCCCACCGGGCGGTGGTATGGAGGAATCGAAACATGGGGAGAGAAAGGTGTGGGTGTGGGAGTGGAGTGGGAGTGGGCGTGGGCGTGGGCGTGGGCCGTCGGCGCGACGGGTGACGGTCAAGAGGGGGCGGTTCAGGTTTTACAGTCATCGACCGGGAGAACGAGGGGTGTGGTGGCGCGCACCTCGGGGGGAGGAGTAGGAGCGGCGATGGGAAGGCGGGTCGGAGTCGGCTATGGCAGGATCAGTCCGGGGTGTGGCACCGGTGGAAAGCGCCTGGGCGCAGACGTTGGAGAGGGTGTGGCGGATGACCAACGGGGTGGGTCGGCGCTCCGGGATAGGCGCCCAGCAGTCGATGATGAGTCGGGCGAGTGGTTCCGGGATCATGGACGGAATCGGGGCGTGGTCGCCGGCGATGACCCGGGCGGCGGTGACGGTCTCGTTGTTGCCGGTAAAGGCGGGCTGGCCGCAGGCGATTTGGTAGAGCATGGAGCCAAAGGTAAAGGTGTCGGCCTGCTTGGCTATGGTCTTGCCCGAGAGCACCTCGGGTGAGGCATATGACGCGGACGGGAGAATACACTTGGGGCCGACAAGCCTTCGGATGGCGGCGAGGCCAAAGTCCGAGAGGATGACGCGAGTGGGGAAGCCCGAGGAGGAGAGGACGATCGAGACGTTGGACGGCGTGAGAGCGCCGTGGGCGGCGCCGGTAGCCATGTGCAGCGCCTCGATGGCGTCGATGAGGGCGGTGCCGAGCGCGCACACAATGTCGAGCGACGGCACAAGGAGCGACGGGTAGCGGGCGCGGACGACGTCCGGATGGACGGCCATGGTCCGGAGGGTACAGTAGCGGAGGCGGGGGAAGATGATAGCGACGTTGGGCGGCTCGATGCAGAGAGCGAGTGGCGGCGAGAGGCACTTGGAGGCCGAGCCCGCGATGGTAGCCGACGCCACATCTGCGGCAATGGCGAGGAGCTCCTGGTTGGAAAACGACTGGGTGACCAGGTGCTTGACGACCACACTCTGAGTCTGCCAGCGAGTCCGGCGTAGGTTGGCGTACGAGCCGCGGACTGGGCGCGAGGCACCACGGATGAGCTTCTCCGTCGCGGCGCCGGAGAGAAAGGCGACGGCGGCGAGCGTAGAGGTGGTGACAAGCTCGTGCGAGAGCAAGGTGGTGTCGTTCAAGCCGGAGGAGCCGAAGGAAGAGCGCGGCTTGCCCGATGACAAGACGCGTTCCGAGAGCAATGTCCGCGGGGTCTCCAGGGTGGTTGATGTCTTGCTCATGGACGAGCCGGTCGAGTTGATATTCAAGCTCGGCGCGACGACGGCGGGGAGCTCGATGCGCAAGATCGGAGGATGCAGCGAGGCGAGTGCGGGTGGCGGGGAAATGAGCGAGATGGCAGTGCCCGAGGCGGCATGGGCGCGCTTGAGTTCGTCGGCGAGCCTGTCGGCGACGAGAGCCAAGCAGCCTTCGGACGGGAGCGAGGCGGGAGCGGCGACGACCCTGGATTCGAGGTTGAGAAGGTCGTCGATTACCGCGCCACCCAGCTTGTACTCTCCATGAGAAGACCGGGTCGTCTCGATGACGCCACGGACAGCAAGCAGAACAGGCGGACCGACAGTCGGGGAGCGAGCGTGCAGAGCGAGGGCGATGGGGTGAACGTCAGACGGGTTGTGGAGCGAGAATAAGACCGAAGTCGGATGGGACGCAAGAACGCAGCCGGCGGCGGCCTCGACGGTGTCGACGACCATGGTGAGTGATTCGACAAGTGCTGAATGGCAGAGCCCCGGGTTGGCGGCAAGGAGCGAGAGGGCTTGCGGAAAGATGACCTTGACGGCGAGGATGGAGCCAAAGGGAGCTTGCGGCTCGGATGGGAAGATGACTACTTCTGGATCAAAGAGATCAGCCATGAGAGAGAGCGCGTCGGTGAGCGGGAGGCGCTCGTCCGGGCTCTGGGCCCAGAGGCCCGAGGTAACGTTGCCGAGGAGCGCAAAGGTCGGCGGGATGTCCTCTAGCGGCGGCCGGGCACCCCGAGCGACTTCGACGGCGACGGCTAGCGGGTTCTGGTCGGCGTAGACACGGCGACGCGACGTGAGTTCCCAGAGCGTGATTGCAAGGGCAAAGAGATCAGAGGCTTTGGAGACGGCGGCGCGGCCATTGGCGATGACCTCGGGCGCGGCGTAGTAGAGGTCCGAGACGTCGCCTACTGGGTACTCTGGAATCGAGACGAGAGTTGAATCGCCCAGCGCGGCCGAGGTGATGGACGAGTCAAGCAAGTCGTGCGAGGCGAAAACGCTCGACTGACCCGAGCGCGAGGAGCGGTGAAGAGGTGGGCCGCCAGGATTAGAGCGCGACGAGTGGCAGGTGTTGGCAAGTTGATCGGTGGTGGCGGGCGGGAGTTTCCGGGTCGAGGTGACGAAGGCGTGTGAGGCGGCGACGAGCGAGAGGTCGCCCTTTGCAGGCGCAAGACCATAGTCTGCGAGCTTTGCAACCCAGTTGGAGTCGAGGAGCACGTTGCGCGGATTGAGCGAGCCGTGAACAACGCCAGCGGCGTGGAGGGCGGCGAGGCCGGCGGTAATGTCGTTGGCCCACTTGAAGATGATCGAGGCGTCGAGAATGGTGTGATTGGAGGTGAGGATGGCAGCCAGCGAGCCGCGCTCGGCAAACTCTGAGACGATGGCAAGCGGGGTTTGGAGGGCGCCGAGGATGTGGACGACGTTTGGGGCGGTGATGGCGGCGAGCGTGCCGACCTCTTGGATGATGGCGTCGACGATGCCCGGCGAGGATGCGGCGGCGGGCGCGAGGCGGAGGTGCTTGATGGCGACCGAGGTGCCAGACCAGGAGCCTGTGTAGACGGCACCAAAGGAGCCCGAACCGACAAGATGGAGGCATTCCACGTCGCTGGGACGGAGGCAAATGTTGTCGTCGACCAAGTTGGGGCCACACGAGTTGGCCTCCTCGGCAGCGAGGACGACTGAAGACGACGAAGTGGCGGCTTGCAGGGACGGGCTGGCGGGTTGGGCCTCCCAGTCGGCGGCGTCAATCGAGGCGCGGCGACGGCGGCGATGGACGATGATCAGCACAGCGAGGAGTGTCACGGCGATGCAACCGATGAGGGTGCAGGCGGAGATGGCGACGATGACGGAGGCGGAGATGGGCGGCGGTGACGTGGATGAGTGCGGCAAGTGGTAGAGGCGCAACACAACAGGCGACGGAGCGAGCCCGGGGCGATGGCGATGGCACGGAGGGCAACGTTCCCATCTCGGTCGATGTGCAGGAGTGGCGAGGCGAGGCGCGGTGAGGTGTGCGAGGGCAGCGAGCCATCGAGGGTGTAGTGGATGACGGCGTTGGCGGTGGGCGAGTAAATGCCTACGGAGATGCGGGTGTGGTACGAGCCCGAGTCGTGGGTAATGCGCGGCGGTGCGACCTGGGCGAGGACCGACTCGAGCCGCAGAGCTTCGAGATCGGCGAGGGCCTCGGTGCGGACGAGGGGCGAGGAGAGTGAGGCCTGAGCGAGAAACATGTTGCTGTGAAAGGCGTTCCAGGCCGTTGTGAGCGAGGTCGATCCGATAAAGACGGCCGAGTGCTGAAGGAGTGCCGAGGCCGAGGACACGATGGCAGCGAGGCTCTGGAGGTTGGCGGAGGTGAGGTGCGTAGCGAGCGATGAGGTGAGCGGAATGCGGTCGGGATTGGCGTCGAGGAGAGCGGCGAGAGTGGCCGGGTCGGCGGCGAAGCGCGCGAGGTCGAGCGCAGTCGGGCCGGCGATGGAGGCTTTGGGAGCGCATAGAGCAAAGATGGAGGCGAGGACAGCTGTCGAGGGCAACGGGAGGCTTGGCGATGGATCCGAGTCGAGGGGCGGAAAGGCAAAGCGCCGAGATTATTAGGATCCATGCCAGCAGATACGGCAGCGGCGTGATCCAGGGTCTCACCGCAGACCATGAGGCTGTGGCCGAGGGCAAGGCTGCGGTACGACGAAAGGTCTGCCGGCGAAAGTTGGAGCTCGGTGGCGGCGGCGGAGTAGTGGTGGACGTCGGCAAGAGAGGCGATGTCGTCGACGATGGCGACGACGCGCGGGTCTGTGAGCGAGATGGCACCGGCGGTGAGGTTGCGGAAGAAGGCATCGCCGTGTGTGCGGATGGCGAGCATGTCAAAGAGGCTCGATGGAAGGCGAGATGGGAAGCCGAGGCAGGAGACCATGTCGGGCAGCTTGTCGGCGGCGATGGAACAGGTAGCGCGGAGGGTGGACCAGGAGGTGGGCGGTGAGAGGCCGATGCGAGCAAGTGCGGGCTTGCTGAAGATGCAAACGGCCGGGGCGGCGAGGAGCGGTACGCCGTAGAGAGACGGGTGAGCATCGGTCGCGTGGTGTGCCGTGAGCAGTGGGACAACAGCGGGGATGAGGTCGGGAACGATGGTTGCAGCAAGGTCGTCGGGAAGTTGCTGAAAGAGCTCATACACATCCTCGATGTTTGTAGCAAGACCATGCGGCGCAACAAGGTCGGCCGGGAGCGGCGGCTGGACAAGACGGAGGTAGTCGGCGAGCGGGCCCGGCGAATCGACGACAACAGCTGCGGCCGAATGTGTTACGTTTGGCGCAGCGGCGAAAAAGGCCGCAAGTTGGCTGGCAGGCGCCGACCAATCTACGAGGGGGGAGGAAAAGGCAACAAGACGGACCGAGACGGTGTCAGCTGAGGGAGCGAGGATGGCGAGTGCGAGGCCTAATATTGTAAGGAGGACGAGGTGGTGCATAGCTGTGATGAGGGGGGGGGGTGACGAGAGAGGTGCGTGTAAGATCGTTGGCGGGGAAACGGGAGTCCAATGTCAATGTAATCTCGGCGGAAGGGATCAAAGTTGGACAGCAAGAGGAATAAAGTGCGGCACTCAGATGGGGGCGGGGAAGCGTATGGGCGGATGCGTGGATGCATTGATGGGGCGAGTGTGTGGGGTGTGCGGCAGATGGGGGTCGTGGTGGTGGGCTGGTCTCTGTGTGTGGGGTCAGTCTGGCGAGCGTGAGGCTTGATTGTCGTTGACCGGCGTTGACCGGCGGTATCAAACGTACCTGTAGGTCAGGGAGTGTTGCCGCGACTGCTAGCACCCACGGCTGGGTGAGCGAAGCGAAGCGGCTTGCACCTTGGTTTGCTCCGATGGCATCGACAAAATCAGCTTTGAAGGAGGGGGAAGCCCCCTCCCCCCCCCTCCCGCCGTCGGGCGGCCCGTTGGGCGCCCTATTTCGACTTTGACCTCAAGCTGTCGAGCCGGCGGAGCACGGCTGATGGCCGAGAGTGTGTCATCATGGCAGTATGTCCAAAAGCAATTTTGGGACGGAATTGGAAAGACTGGTCAACGCGTTCCAGGACATGACATCAGCGCCCAACGCTATGTTACCCCACACATATTGATGATACGCATGGCGAGCATTGCTTGCACGCCCCAGTTTCTCAAGCGGCAGCCTTGCGACGCCGACATGCGACGCCGACATGCGACGCCGATCGGCCGGTGTGTAGCGGCAGCAGGGGGTTCGAGGACTTGATCATGTACTGTGTTGTTCACTTTGAGGCCGGCGACAACGCGCCCAAACGACCGTACCGTTAAGGGTCATCGCTATTGTGCAGAGGATGTGGCGGCGGCTGCGGCTGCGGACGACGATCGGGTGGAGCGCTTGGCCTTTTTGAAGGCTGGCAGGACGTGGACGTCAGGCGGCGAGTTGGTGACAGCAAGCGAGGCAGGGACAACGCGGGCACGGCGGAGCGAGCGGGGCTCGAACGGCGGGGGCGGAAGGCGGCGGCGGCGGCGGGGTGTTGGAGTCTGAGCGGTTGCGCTTGCGCGAGACGGCGGCGGGGGCGGAGGGATCGAGGGCCGACGGAGCAGCGGTGGGCGAGGAGACTGCCGACGGCGGGACGGAGATGGTGATGCGTGAGATGGGCTCGTTGAAGAAGACCAGGGTTGTGGCGATGATCGAGTCAAAGACGTCTGCAGTGGAGAGCGGTGAGGACTTGAGGACGTTGAACGAGTGGTCTGCCGACTCGATGAGGTGGGTCTCGTGGCGGGCAGCCATGCGCGACTTGACTGAAGTCATGAGGTGAGCGGAGCAGAGGCGATCGCGGGTGCCTTGGATGAAGCAGACTCGGGTGTGGCGGTCGAGGAGGAGGAGCGGGCCGTCGCGGAGCTTGGACGGGTCGTTGGCCGGATGAAGCGGATAGGCGTAGAAGACCAGGCCCGCAATGAGGTGCTCGTAGAGGTGGCCGAATGAGTTGACGAACGAGGCGACGGCGCGGCAGCCCATCGAGGCACCGCCGAGGTAGACGTTGGCGAGAGCAAGCGAGGCCGGGGAGGCAGCATCGGCGACAAACGAGGCAAACGAAGCCGAGAGGACATGGCTTACCACAGCGGCGACCGACTCGATAAGCTTGGGCTGGCGGTCGGGCGGGCCGTTGGAGCGGGCGGAGCGGTAGGGAAAGTCAAAGCGGAGGACGGCGATGGACGGGTTGTGGGTGACGAGGCCTGTGGCGACGGCGGCGAGGAGTGGCGAGTCTTTGGAGCCACCTGCCGAGTGTGTGAGGATAAAGAGGGTGGAGATGAGGTGCGGAGGCGCAAGACCATCACTCGGCAGCCGCTTGCTCTTTCCCTCGCCCCCGTCTGACCGCCCTGCTGAGCCTGGTGACGTCGGCTGCGCCCCTGCTGCCGGTGCCTTGCGTGCTGACGAGGATTGTTCGGCGTCCGGGAGGGTGGCACAGGTGAGAAGAGCAGACAGAGCGCCAGGTGGCGAAGTGACCAGGTCTGTGGGGATGGAGAGCTCAATGTGGCGAGCGGTCATAGCGTCGCGGGCGAGAGGGCACACACTACGACTGAGTGATTGTGGGGATGTATGGTCGTGTGTGGTGTTGAATGCGATACTGGTGGTGGAGTGGCTGTGGTTTTAGCTCGTTGGAGGTTGGGCTTTCTGCTTTGACGAACAATGTTGATGGTTGATGCGGGACAGGGGATTTGGAGGAAGGGTGTGTGTACGAGAGGAGGGGTGATGGAGGGGTGGGTGGGTGGGTGGTGGTGGTGGAGGGCAAAGGGGGCTGGGGGTGGAGGGAGGGACGGGGAAGGAAGGGATGGGGTGGTGGTGGTGGTGGTGGTGGTGGTGGTGGTGGTGGTGGTGGTGGAGAGTCATTGGGAGGGGGAGGGGGGGGGTGGAGGGGGTCTCGGCAGAAACTCGGACTTCATTGCTTTTGTGATTGGGGTGTGGGGTTTGCCGTGACATACTGCGCACAGTTTGTGAATGTCAACTTTTGGGGACCGAGAAGCGAGGATGTAAAGGCGAGGGGACCGAAGGGAAAGTAATCGAGTTGGAGTACCACTTCACTTGCACTGGGCAATGGAGGGGACATCCTGTGACGGCTGCAGTGGCAGTCGGAGGTTGCAGCAGAGGCAGGGAGGCAGCCGAGTGAGCGAGGGTGAAGGCGGGCTGTTGCGGCGGCATGGCATCGTCGCTCTCGACGCCGACCCTCTCCTTGGGGCAAGGACGGCATGCCGTAGCAGGACAAGAACGAGTGGCGAATATACAGAATGGAGCGCGGCAGGGGGCTGCGGCTGGAAGGCTGGCGAGGGAACGACGGGGTGTGTAGCGGCGTCGGCCTTGTCTGAGCATCCGCAAGGAGCCGAGGACGCAGAAGCTGCCGAGCAGCAGGAAGAGGCGCAGGGCGACGCTTCGTCGGTGGCTGGAGGCTCGACAACTGGCATGGAGCCAAGCTCGAGCTCGAGCTCAAGTTCAAGATCGAGCTCAAAGTCTAGCTCAAGTTCGAGCTCGAGTGGGATAGGCTCGTCGAGCTCGAGCGGCATGGCCGGGCCATCCGGGGGAGTGGGGCGGAGGAGGAGGAAGAAGAAGAAGGCGAGCGGGCTGCGGTCGCGGCGGGCGGTGAAGCGCAAGGTGGCGCGATCGACAGAGTCTTCAGACTCTGAGGGCTCTGTGGATGGGCGATACCTTGGTTCGGGTGCGTCTGTGGTGGAGCTGGTGCGGGGCGGCGGCGGCGGCGAGGGGAGCACGGCCGGCGAGGCGGATGTAGAGGCCGGGGCCGGCTCGGACGGGCTCGATCCGGGAGAGCTCCTCCACAAGGCGCTGTGGACAAACAAGCCGCGGGAGGCGGTGTCTATTTTCTGGAACAAGTACAACAGTGAGACCGACGACCCCAACGCGTTGCGGCCTATGACGCTGATGGAACAGTTCCGCGAGATGCAGGCTGAGCTTACGGTGTATCCAGCGATGCGGCAGAAGAAGAGCGCGGTGGAGTGGGCGACGGTGACATGGCGTGGGTACTACCTGCAGGCGAAGCGAGTGGCACGGTCGCTGATGAAGATGGGGATCAAGGCCGGGATGCGTGTGGGCATTTTTGCGGCCAACTCGCCGCAGTGGTGCATGGCGTTTCTCGGCTCGGTCATGGTTGCCGGCATTCCTGTGGGCATTCACGACGCGTTTGACGAGGGTTCAATTGGGCACATTCTCCGGCACGCGTCGATCACGGTGCTGTTCATTGGTGGGCAGACGGAGCTAGAGGTCCTTGTCTCTGTCCTGCGGCAGACGAAGTACTCGAAGCTATTTGCGGTGGTCTCGTTCACGGCGCTCCGCGATGACTCTGCGCGGTACCTCCGCAACGCCGGCATCTATCCATTTGTTTTTGACGAGTTTGTGCTCCTCGCCGGAACCGACGAGTCGATGCTGCAGCGGCTGGTGCGGCGGCGGCAGGCCGAGGTCGAGCCGGGCATGTGCGCCACGATTGTGTACACGCCCGGAGCGTCGTCGGCGCCAAAGGGCTGCATGCTCTCGCACGACAACCTGCTGTGGGCGGGAACGATTCTCTCGGGCATGCTCGGCGCGAGCGGGTCGGACAAGGCGGTCTCGTTCATGTCGCTCTCGTCGGTCTACGGCCTGCTCGTCGACCTTGTGGTGCCGCTTGTCACTGGGCATGCTGTCTCGTTTGTCACCAAGACTGCGCTCAAGGGCTCTCTCGGCGACGTGCTCCGCGAGGTGGGGCCGTCGTTCTTTGTGGGCATGCCGCACATCTTTGAGCGGCTCCGCGATCGGTTCGAGGAGTTTGAGTACACTCACTCGGGTTGGGGCGCGCGGAATCGGATGCTGGCGTGGGCGCGGCGGAAAGGCCTCGCGGCAACGTACGCGGCTCAGCGCGGCGAGTCGATGCCGTGGGGCTACACGCTCGCGCGGCTGACGACCTTTCTCCCGTTCCGGCAGCGAATCGGGCTGCAGAACGCGCGAATTGTGGTCTCGATGGGCTCGCACATCTCGGTCGACACGCTCGAGTTTTTCCAGTCGCTCGGCCTGCAGATCTACGTCTCGTACGGCATGACCGAGTGCACCGGCGTCTCGACGCTCTCATTGCCCGGAGCATGTCTGACTGGGACGGTCGGGCGGCGGCTGCTTGGGACGGGCGTGTCGACGCGCGATGACCGGCGCGAGCTCATCACCGCCTCGGGCGTGCCGCTCGAGCAGGAGGCCGGCGAGGGCCCGATCCGGGTCTACGGGCGCAACGTATTTATGGGCTACTTTCGCATGCGCAAGCACGACCAGGCACCGCTCTTCGACTCGGCCGGCTGGTTCGAGACCGGCGACTTTGGGCGGTTCGAGGGAGGCTTTCTGCACGTCGACGGCAAGGTCGAGGACGTGGTGACGCTCGCGGACGGGACCGCGCTCGCGCCAATAGCGGTGGAGGCCAAGCTCGTCGACGCCATTCCGGGCATCGAGCATGCCTTTGTCTACGGCGAGAACAAGGCCCATCTCGTTGCACTCTTTACTCCCGAGACCAAGCTCAACCGACAGACCGGCGAGGCGACGACCCGCATCGACTCGGGCATTCTCCGCTGGATCTACGAGAGCGGGCAGAGGAGGCTCGACGACGACGTCGAGTCTGCCGCCGAGCTCGACCTCCTCGAGCTGCAGGCTGCCATGCTCGCCGACGTCGACGCCACAGCCCGCATCACTGTCGCCGAAGTCATCGCGCATCCGGATGTCATCCGCTACGTCCAAACACGGGTCGACGCGTACAACGACGCCGCGCCCCAAGCCGTCCAGATCCACCGGTGGGCCTTTACCCCGGCGCCGTTCACCGTCTACTCGGGCGAACTCGACGTGGCGTACAAGCTCCGCCGCGACGTTGTCATTGCCGTCTATGCTGAGCTGTTGCACTCGCTGTACGAGTGAGGCACATCATTGAATGTATGCGCCCAGTGCGCCGTGGCCGGCCGAGCTCAGCGGTTTGCGGTCTGTCACTCGACTCTAGCTTGTGGCTTTGTGCGGGAAAGAGTGCACAACTGCAAGTACTGCAGAGCAGAGAGTGAGGAAGAGCAAGTGGTAACCATGTCTGGTGCAGTCTCGTATGTCAAGGACAACTTTATGTCCGTCGCGCTCTTGATGATGGCCGGCTCGTCGGGCCTCATGATCCTGGGCTCTTTCCTCTCGTTCTGGAATGGTATGTCCGAGCTGGGAGGGGGGACGGGGAGGGGGGAGGATGAGGGTGAGGGGGACATGGTGGTGGGTGGTGGTGGGTGGCGGGTGGTGGGTGGTGGGTGGTGGTGGGTGGCGGGTGGGTGGTGGTGGTGGGCGGTGGTGGTGGTGGTAAGGCGTTGTCTCATGTGTGTCCGAGGGTTCGACTGTGCGACTTGGTGGGCCGTGTTGCGATGGGCTGTGTGTGTGTGTGCTATCCTGCGATGGCGTGTGTGTGTGTGTGTGTGTGTGCGTGTGTGCTGCGATGGGGATAGCGTCTCAGGCGGGTGGAACGGTGCTGTTCCAGTTGGCGTGGCTGGTGTGGGCGGGCGGGGCCGGCATGTTTGCGGGCGAGGCGATCAAGGCGTGCGGGGCAAAGACGCCGCGTGTGCCGCTGTTCAAAGATCGGCAGGTCATTGCGTCGGTCTGCCTTGTTGTTGGTGCCGTCTTTTACATCTTTGGCTGCTTCTTCTACTACTCGCACTCGTCGCGGATGGGTGGTGTGGGGATTTTCTTCACCGCCTCGTGGTTCCTCGTTGCAGGCGGCTTTACCCTCGTCTACGACTCGATCAAGGTCAACGAGGGCGCACTGGTTCTCGAGGACCGGCTCACGATGGGTGCGCTCCTCTTTGCGGTCGCTAGCTTCTTCCTCTGGCTCGGCTCGATCTTCCTCATGAAGTCGTCGTCGCACCAGGCCGGCGTTGCCTCGTACCTCGTCGCCTCGATCATTTACACCATTGGCTCGACCATGTTCTACCTCGAGGTCTCCAACGCGTCGTACTCGGACGCCGAGGGCGCCCACCGCCCGCTCTCGGCTGGCTCGGCCCCGTACTCGAAGCCGTACGCCCGACCATGGCCGCGCCGCCTGCAGGCGCGGCGTCCCCGGCTTCGCGCCCGGCCGCCTCCCAGCAGCTCGACGAGGATGACGACCCGTTTCTTTAGCGGCTCTGCATCCTGCAGTAGGACGCGGCCATGAGCAGGGCACGTCCTGCCGCAACGAGTAGCCGGCTGCCGCAAGCTAGCCTACAGTTTGCTGATCGTGGGCACGTGCTGGCGCTGATGACGGCCGCTGCATGAGCGGCACACCGGTTCGTCTGTAGTAAATCTCCACGAGTGACGCGCGAGATGCGGGGCCGTCTTGAGGCGACCGGTCCCGCCGCCGTCTGTTGTGCGGGTTCGACGAATTGAGTGAGTACTCGACTCCCAACTCGAAGGGCGACAGACAAGCGCGTGGCATGTACGGCCACAGGGCCGACTACGGCTACAGCAGAGGGCCGAGAGCCAATTCTGTCGAACCTATGGCCGTGGAGGGCGGCGGTGGGCGTGCGGGTTTGTCTGGGAGGGACGAGGGTATGGAGGGTTTGGAGGTCATGGAGGTTGCCGGCCTCGCGGGCGACCTTCGGAACACAGCGCCTTCGCCGACGCAGCCTTGGTCCGCCGGCTGGAATCGGGAACCAGGTCGCGATGAGGGGAGCGGCAGTCCTGGATTGAGACGACACGGCGAGGTGGTGGCAAGTAGGGAAGATGTGCTGGCAGACAGGTTTGGACCAAGGGGGGTGAGCCGAGCGGTGGCGACGGGAACGAGACGGAGAGCGATGAGTACGGCGAGGAGCAGTGCGTGGTCGAGGCAAGGGCGCCATCGCCGCCGAGATCGACGCCGATAGTGGCGGAGCATGTCGAGCCCCTGAGCATGACGTCGCTGATGACGTCGTTTAGGAGCGTGGCAAGGCAGGTCGAGGCCGAGCATGCCGAGCACGTCGAAGACGCCCGGTTCAACGCCCACGAGGGCGAGCAGCTGATGGAGATGCTTGCAGCGGTCAAGCTCGAGGACGAGGTGCACGGCATGCCGTACCTGTACTGAGCCCCACCCAGCCGGCGCTGGCTACTCGCTCAGAGCGCTGCCAAATGAAAAGAACTGTAGCCGCGTCTCGGCGGCCGATGAGAGGAACTCGCACTCGGCGCAGCGGAGAAAGGCAGGCTCGCCACAGGAGGTGCACCCGGTGTTGGTGCAGACGCCGGCATGCGGGGGGTTGTCCGGGTTCGCGCTCGCGGCGCGCGAGAGATCGGCTGCGGCTTCCGGTTCGGCCACCGATTCCGCCGCCGCCAGCAGCGCGTGGGCCAGCTCGTCGTCGACCTCGACCTCGGGCTCTGTGGCGGCGGCAGCGGCAGCAATAAACGCCGCCATGGCTACGCACGCCGGGTCGCCGGCATCGCCCATCGCCGCCACCGAGAACACATGTCCGAGCAGCTCGCCCTGCGACGCGGCCAGCTTGACCACGTTGGCCTCAACTGTCACCAGCGCCGCAAGCAGGACAAACATCGACCGGCGTACAGCCAGCGGGAGCTCGGCCGTCGCCAGCTGCGCCGCAATCCGGTCAAAGGCGCCCAGCGCCGCCATGGTCGTGGCCTTGCCCGAGTCGCGCGCCATGATCGCCAGCATTGTCGCGGCCGAGCCTGCCTTGCCCGCATCGCTGCCGCCCAGCGTCTGGAGCAGCTCTAGCGTCGCCGAGCCCAGCACCCTCATTTTGCCAGCTGTGTCCCCCTCGCCGGCGCCGTGGCATCGCGTTCCAGCTTGGACGACGCGACCGGCATGGGCGGCGTATACCCCGTCTGCATCAGAGCGGCCAGCGCTCCCGAAGCCGCCGACGGCGGATGGCTAGCAGCAAGGCTAGGTGACGCTGCGCCGGCTAGTGCTCGAGCCGCGCCAGTTGAGACCATCGGAGGCAGCGCATGGAGCGGAGGCGCAGCGCGTGTACCGGTGGCAGCCAGCATGCCTTCGGTGGCAAGCATGGCCTCGCCATGGGCCTCCTCCGGCTGCATGCACAGTCCGCACCGGGTGTCGCCCGGCATGAGTGGCTCAAACAGCTCGCATGCTGACGACGGTGCGCGTGAGTACATGGTGTGGGGTCGTGGCGAGAGGTGGAGGTCGAAGTGGCGGGTGTCCATTGCTGGAGGCGATCATGTTGCGGTAATTGGCGGTCGATGGAGAGGTTGGCTTGGCCTGTGTTGATGTTTGTGGTGTGTGGCGTGTGCGTGACGCAGCATGCCGGCTCGACACCATGTGGTGCTTGGGAGATGCAGATGTGGCGCAGGAGCCAGGCCGTTGGGCGGATCGTCGCGCGTAGCATGATGGTATGATGGCGCGCCCGCAGGTGTGCCGTAGTGCGCATGATTACGTCCCGGTGCGGAGCGTAGCGTGTCTGATGACGCGCGTTGTGAGCGTTGACCGGCGGAGAAAGAACGCGGCGTCGGGGAGTGTCATGGTTTGTCATTCACGTGGTCGCACGGGATGAAATTGGCTAGTGGTTACAGGCCTCCTGTGGGCGGCATACAACAGCTAATGACACGGTTCAAGCCTAGTGGGCGATACAGCCAATGTAGACTAGACTAGGCGTGTTGATAGTGATGAAGCGGCGCTAGATGGTGCAGGAGAGTCTCACAACGCTAGCCGCCCTGCGGCGAGTTGACGCGCACGTATCCGCCAAAACACCGCATTCTCGCCGCGCCGCGCCGCAACGCGGCGTCGTCAGGCACAGTTGGGGCTGGACAAAACCAACGACGCTATGGCTACACTGCGACGATCTTCCTCCTTCCGACACAGCAACTTGTTGCAGAGCAAGCCAGCACCATCATGGAAGCATACTACTCGGCCTCGGCATCACAAGACTACTCATCGTACGAGTACGAGCTGACAGACAACGCCATGATCAACACAATATCGAGCTCACTGATATCCAGCTCTTCACACAGCGCGTCGCCTCGCACGGCATCACCACCGGCCTCGCCCGGACACAAGCCGCGACTGCCACCGCTTGCGGTGGCTGTGCCGTACTGGTCGGATGGGCCGAATGGGCAGGGGAGCATCACGTCCGAGGAGTACCAAAACGGGTGCTGCTGCACGCGGTGCTTCATGCGGTGGCGGGCGGGGCTGTACTACATGTGGCGATCGTGGCGACTGTACGTCGTCCCGCTTGCTTTCCTCTATCCGATCATCCTCGAGTACTTTGTGGTGCTTAACGTGTACAACGCAGACTTGCTCAACAACTTTGACATCATCGATGAGTACGAGTATGCAATGATGGACATTGCCGTCTTTCTCGTCATGCTCGTCTCCATGTGGATCTTGCACGTCGAGCCGGCGTTTCTCGAGTTCCTCGGCGTCGTCGCTGCCTTTGCCGCGCACTACTCTTGGGCCTTCCACTCGCCGTTCACCGAGTGGCGGATCGGGACCAAGTCCGAGAATGACATCCGGCATCGGACCGAATACTACGATACCCACGTTCTCGTCTTTGCCATCTACCTATCGCTCTTCCTTCGCCGCTTCCCGCTCCCATCGCACATCCTCCGCCCGAGTGATATCGTCAGCCTGCCGCACAATGAGTCGCCCATTCCGCCCATCGCCCCCCTTCCGCTGGCGATGCAAACGTGTGACGAGGTAAACAAATATCAACAGTGACAGGCCTTGCGCCGAGCGATGAGGACGCCAAGCTGGTCCGTCGTCTAGCGTCGGCGGGCAGGCCGCCACTCGTCGCCGGTCAGGCGGTTTGGGATGTCGTCGCGTGGCAAGCTCGCATGGCATGAGACACCCAAGACACACAGCAGGCGGTCACCGGGGCAAAGGACGGCGGCACCCGGAGATATGGCCCGGTCGGGCTTTTCCAAGCTGCGGCGGTCGATGAAGCTGCTGGCGGCGGTGGGGCGGGCGCAGTCGCAGGCGAGGAAGGCGCAGGCAGCGGGCCGGGAGGGCGACGACGACGACGAGGACGGGAGTGAGGGTAGCGAGAGTAGTGGGCAAAGCAGGAAACGCACAGTAGCGGTAAGTGCGCTGGAGCAGATGCGAGACGAGGAGGAGACGCTGCAGGCGTCGTCGATGGCGCTCGGCTCCAATTACGTGCTCACCCAGTCACGGTCGCATGCCCGGGCGGCCGGGATGTCGTCGCGGCAGCGGGCGGCAGCGCGAGCCCGTGTGGAGCACGACATGACGGACCGACTGAGGCGGAGGCGGGTTGTGGCGGCTCGAAGCCGCAACGCTGTCGCGGATGTGCCTGACGCCACCGCGGCCATGCTCATCCGCGCTGCGCACCGGCTCGACGGTGGCACCAACGACCACGTCGACGTGGCCCAGTCGAAAGCGCTTGTACTCGCCCGGATGGGCGTTGGCTCGCTCCCGTCGCCGTTCATTGCCATGTACAACACAGCGTTGTACAACACGCTCCTCTCGAGCTACCTGGCGTACATGGCGCAGGTCATCATGGGCGCTGACGTCTCGCTGCTGGAGATTGCCCTCGCGCGAGTGGCGGCGTCATATGCCGACGTCCTCCTCCTTTCGCGCGGCACGTCATGGATTGCGGCGACGAAGGCTCCGCAGTCGGCGAAGGTTGCTTCTTCGTCAGCAAGCCAACTGGCAAAGACGCGAAAGCCGGCAGCCGAGGCCACGGCTGCACGAGCGAGCGGTAGGGGCGGCAGCAGGGAGTCGGCGGGCGGCGGCGCGAGTTGCCTTCGCTGGTCGGGCGGCGGCGTGAGCTGCAGCGGCAAGCCGAGGCCAAAGCCGAGGCGAGGCGGTCGCAGATTCGAGAGCAATCACACGTGCCGCTGCCTGACAAGGATGCGATGGTGACACCGTCGCGCAAGAGCGCCGAGTATCGCAAGGCTGTCGCCGACGGGCCTGGTTTTGACAAATGGGCGGCGTTTTTCCGTGACGATGTTCTGGAGCACGCGTTCTTTGACGCGCTGTACACGGCACTGCTCCGCACTGCGCTTGCAGTCTTCCCCACCTCGGCCTACGAGCTGATCAAGACCGAGACCCGTCGCATGTTTGCCTTGGACGTGTTCATGCAGCGGGACTCGGATCCGTCTGCGCTGCGGCGGGTCGAGCAACGCGACCCGGCACTGGCCCAGGCGCCGCATCTCCACTCGCCGATCCTCGATGCGCTCGTCCCGTCGTCACTGGAGAAGCAGCTGCAAGTCGCGTCGCCGTCGCGCTCGCACATGGCTGGGATCGGGTCGCCGTCGGTGGCACGGGCGCGGAGCGCGCATCACGCCATTGACGGCCCAGGCGCCGGCGCAGTTCTGGTGGCAAGTATGTCGTTTGCTGGAGATGCCTACTCGTCTTGATGAGAGGGAGGAGGAGGTTCAGACGGGCGAACTGGGGCGAGGCTGCGGAGCGCGGCCAGCTGCGCCAGCAGTGCTTCACCGATGTAGGCAGGGTCCGATGGGTCGCGACGCGAGGCTTGGCCCGGCAGCGCCTGACCGAGGCATGCCACAACGAGCGCCGAGGTCATGTCGTCGAGGACAACGATGCACTCGGTGAGTGGGACGCCGATCACCTTGCAAAGGTCGTCGGCAAGGTCGGGGCGCGGTACGTACCGGCGCAGGACGGCGCGACGGGCGGCGCGCATGGCGGCTGCGAGCTTGCTTGCCGACGACGCAAAGTCGGGCGAGCTGCCGCTGTCGGCGAGCATGGCGACAGTGGCGTCGACGGCGTGATCGAGCGCAGACGCGAGGCGATTCCATGAGCCGAGTACAGAGGCGATAAAGTCGAGGACGTTGACAGCGTCGTGGACAGTGTCGTACGGACGGGCGTCGAGGACGGGCTCGGCGCGCGAGAGGTCGTCAACGCACGCCGCAAGGCGCGCCTCGTTGATCATGTCGATCGATGGCGCGGAGAGCGACCAGCTCCTTGTGGCTGCCTCGAGGTGAGAGATGGCCTCGCGGACCATGTCGTGAATGGCGTCAAGGACTGGGCCCTTGACCTCAAACAGCTCGTTGAGCGAGACGGCGTTGTGGCTCGCCACAAACTCGCGAACGTCGTCGATGGCATAGAGCAACTCGTCGTCAGCAGTCCAGTGGGCAGAGCCATCCAGCACAATGTCGCTGGTCTCGGTACAGCCATCTGCGGGACTGACCACCTGCTCGGGTGAGCCGTGAGCGCGCGGCAGCTCGAGCAGGCCGTCAACAGGAGTACACTCGTTTGTGACCGAGCCGGCGCTACTCGCATGCGGTTGCAACGGCGAGCTCGCCGACGGTTGGCCGAGCCACGCAGCTTGCTCCTCTTCCTCGATCTCAACGATGGCGGCCGCCAGCTCGTCCTCAGCGGTCGAGAGGCGGATGCGGCGGCGGCGCGGGAGGGGAACGTCCTCCGGCTCACTGCTCGGGTAGGAGATGACCGAGACGCGCGAGGCAGCCTGGGAGAGGGCGAGTAGCTCGTTCTCGGCGCGGGCCTCGTCGTCGGTGAGCAGGATGTGTACTTCGTGGCGGGCCTCGATAGCGACGGAGAACTGGTGACCCTCGTCCTCGATCATAAAGACGGAGAGAACGTCAAACATGGGGACACGGCAGACAACCTCGGGCATGACGCCACACCCAAACGGCCCGGCACCGTCGGTCCGATAGTACTGCTGCGCGTAGAGCATACCGCGGAGCCAACGCTGGCACTCGGGCTCTGAGTTGGCCTGCACAAAGTGCCAGTCGCCCGGAACGCCGACACAGAGCACAAACTCTTCCGGACAGTCGAGGCCGAGCGAGGCCCAGACGACAGGCTTCTCACCGAGCCCAGCAGTGGCAGCCTCAGGCGCCTTGTGAAGAGCATGCTCAGCAGAACCATCGTCGCTCGCATCGCTTGCCGACTCGGATGAGGTCGGAAGATCATGGGCGGCACGCCATTCGACACCGTCGCCGCCGGGCAGCCGGTGAACAGTCTTGATGACCACCCGCGGCAAGTCCAGAAAGTACAGCGGGTCAGCAGCCGGCTGGCGGCAGATGTAGAGATGCGAGCCGACGAGGCGCATGTACCGCTGGGACCAGCCCTTGGCCTTGACCGCCATGGCCTCGGACTTTCTCACGAGCAGGAAGCCCTCCTCGGCAGCAGGCTGCGGAGGCTCGAACGGCTCGGGGTCGGCGAGGGTGACCACGTTGCCCGCGCGGGTTTGCGAGCGCCAGAACCGGCGGGGCTTGACCGGCGCGTTGGACTCACGGCGGCGGAAGCCGTTGCGGACCGCAACCGGGCGGGAGAGAGCCCGTATCCGACTCCCCGCCCTGTCTTGCATGAGAAGTGTGGTCGGGCGTGGGAGTGAAAGTGCTGCGGGAGCAAGGGTGAAGTTTGAGGAGGTGAGGGTGGGCGTGCGGGCAAAAAAATGAAGATCCGAGAGGGTTTCGATCCCCCGACATTCAGCGTGTTAAGCTGACACTCTTCCAACTGAGTTATCGGATCTGAAGAGTGGATGGGAGCGGTGGGTATTTGAATAATTCTTTAGATTGCGGTGGTGGTGTGATGGTTGTATTCGGAGCGGTTGCACGCGGGTGCTGAAGAGCGACGGGCGCAGGTCCGGAATACTGGGACTGTGGATAGGATACTGTGCAAGAGGATAGTGTGTGCATGTAGTATACTAGCTATGAAATCCGATTGGGCATAGCTGGTAATGAGTGTGGTGGGCGTGTGCGAGGTCGCGCGGTCGAGGGCGTTCTCAACCGCCAAGGCCAAACAAGTCGCCGCGTAGGTGGTCGGCGAGGACAAGAGTTGAGGGTGCGGGGTCGGGGCTGGGTGGCCCGGGATTGCTGTTGGTTGGACGATGGGCAGTATGGTATGTGATGTTTGCCGGATGGCAGTGTCGGGGTCGGGGATGAGGAAGGGGTTGAGCTGGGGCGGGGAGAGGAGAAGAACGAGGAGGAAGAGGAAGCGGGGTGCGCGATGGGATGGTGGTGGGCATGGCCATAGCATGGGGGTGGGAGTTGTGGCTGGGATGTTAGTGATGGCGGTGGAGTAGGGGGTGAGGGTGGTGGTTGGTGGTAATGGGGCGTAATGAGTATGGTAGGGGGGATGAGGGGGGTCGTGACGTGGGTGGCGAGGTGGGCAGAGGGGGCGGTAGGTATGGCGATTGGGCTAAAGGATTGATGTGGGTGGGTGCGATGACGATGATGGGTGTGTGTGGGGTGTGGAAGATGAGGAAGGCAGGTACTTGGGCGGCAGGGGGAGGAGGGCGGGATGGATTGGATTGAGATGGACGTCGATGGAGACGATGGCTTGAGAATAGAGAAGGAGGCAGACCACTGCACTCTAGCCCATCACTGTATTGCCTATCGCTCGCACTTGCCCTCTCTTGTTCTTCCTTGTCCTGGCCAGCCCGGTGGTCTCGTCTTCTGGCTCGGTGATCGGCGGCAGGGGTGGCTGGCGATGAGCAGGCCGGCGGGGGCTGTGATCGACAAGGCCGGAGGAGGGAGGGAAGGATTGGGTTGGAGGGCAGACTGGTAGTCATTGCCAAAGATGTGGCTATCCGTATGCATCGCCTCCAATGTCCTGTCGATGGCTAGCTTGCTCTCGGTGGTGTCGGCGGTGGTCGGTCGGCGGCGGTCGGCGGTGAGCAGCAGGCAGTCGGCAGCGATGCTGTTGACGGGATGGTGTCGGCTGATGTGGATATCGGGGAGCAGAGAGTGGGTGGCTATGTTTGCAGGGGTAGTGTTTGTGTGTGGTGTATGTGTGGTGGTCGTGGGTGGGGATGGTGGGGAGTGGGCGTCGGAGATGGGCCCGGGGAGGAGGGGTCAGCAGCATCGAAACGACACCAGGACAACAAGCTGGGCCTGAGCCGGCAGAACTCGGATTCCGGAATACTGCAGCTGTGAATAGAAGACTGTGCGAGGGGATAGCGTGTGTATGTAGTAGGGTAGTAATGAAATCAGATTGGCCATGACTTGCAATGAGTGTAGTGGGGAGCATGTGCGGGGTCGGGCGGTCGAGGGCGTGCTCAACCACCCAGACAAAACAAGCCGACGCGGAAATGAGCCGAGGAAGATGGGTGTCGATGACAGCGATAATTGTACTGGTAAAAATGCACGGTGAGTGATGACCTTGGTTGTGGTCGCGGGTTGCGTAGCTGGTAGTGGGAACGAGCTAGGTGGTGATCAGGGTCGGCTGATCGGGCCGGCGGGCGGCGGCTGGCGGCTGGTGGTCAGCAAGGCAGGGGCAGCAGAGGGGGCGGGGTCGGACTGGGTGGCTTGAGATTGCTGTTGGTTGGAAGATGGGCAGTAAGGCATGCGATGGTTGACGGATGGGAGTGTCACAGTCGGGGATGCGGATGCGGGTGAGATGGAGCGGGGAGAGGAGGAGGATGAGGAGGAAGAGGAAGCCGCGGGCGCGATGGGATGGTGGTGGG